TCTTCCCTCCCTCCCTCCCTCCCTCCCTCCCTCCCTTCCTTCCTTCCTTCCTTCCTTCCTTCCTTCCTTCCTTCTTCCCTCTTCCCTCCCTTCCCTTCCCTTCCCTTCCTTCCTTCTTTTCTTGGCTCCGCTCCGAAGCAGGGCAAGAGAGTAATCTTTGCCCGGAGGTTGGCTCAAGACGCGGAAGCAAGCCGGCTCCAAACGGGAAGAAGGGACCTGCGGGGCGGGTGCTCCGGATTAGCTCCAGCTGCTGGGGGCTGGGGGGGCGGTTGCGGCTGGCCGAGGGGCTCCAGACAAGGGTGGAAGCCGAGGTAAGGAGACCACCGGACCGGAGTAAGAGCCGCCTTGCCGCTCACCTGCAGAAAGGCGGAACGCCCGCCATCCCCGGCTCAGGAGCGCGCAGGGCCCCCGGTGCGCGCGTTCTTGGCGCGCTCCTGCTTTACGATCCAGAAACTCCGAAAAAGGGGAAAAGGAGGGCGCGATCCCACCCAGCAGGGAGGAGGGAAAACTTTTTTGGGGGCGGGGGGAGGCAAGAAGGAATTGCAATTCGGATCAGCCGGAGGTGAGTTCAGAAGAAGGTTGAGCCCAGGTAGGTCGCCACTTTCTCTTTGCGCGTGGGATGATGGTTTGGCATCGTGGTTTCTGAGCACGAGGGTAGCTTGTTACCTGGACCCTTGGGGGCAAGTCGGCAGCGCTGAGCTAGGAACGGAGCAATGACCCGCCGCAGCTTCCAGGTTCCCAGTCCGGCAATCCGGATTTCGTGGGGAACAGCCTACCTTACAGGGTTGGTTTTTTTTGGCACCGACAGGGACTGTCTCAGGAGCTGCTGAAAGAAAAAAAAAAAGTGGACAGCCCAGGCTGGTAATGTATCTAGCCTGCATTGAGCAAAAGGGGAGTCCCTTTTGTAACGTGGAGGAAAGCTTTTTTTAAAAAAAAATCATCAGAAAAAAATATATGTCAGTGGGACAGGTTTTTAATTCCCAGGCCCACCTTCCTTTTTATTTATTTATTTATTAACTTTATTGACACACACACACCCCATCTTACCACAAGGTACCTCTGGGCGGTTTATAATATATATATATATCTATAAAAAGATAAAAATTTTACAAAAACTATACACAATAGGAACTAAATTTTAAAAAAAGACAAATTCAAATGTAAGGAGGCTTAGGTTTTTTGATGCCTTCTCTTGCTGCTCCTACCTGTGCACCAAGGGATTAAGACAGAGGTGTGCGGGGGGGGGAATCCCCCCTCAAATCAAAAGCACCCAGAGTCGTTTTGGGTAACAAGAGGGTCAGTATATAAATTTAATTAATTAAGCTTCTTTGTCACTTGTGAATAGAAATACAAAAAAAAACAACAACCCCAAACCCAACAAGACACGTTTGCTTGGCTACTGATCTCTTAGAACAGGAGTAACGACCTTGGCAACTTGTGGACTTCAACTCCCAGAATTCCCTAGACAGCATGGGATTCTGGGAGCTGAAGTCCACAAGCCTTAAAGTTGCCAACCTTGGGACGTAGGCCCTGCCTTATACAACTTCAGAAATGGTGCCACTACTTGTTTATTTGGAGCAATCCTAAGGCTGCCCAGCTTGAACTGTACAACTGTTTTGCAACCACACAAAAAAAATATCTAAGATAATGGGGTGCGCCCGTAGGTAAAAGAGGAATCTGGAAAGCTGTCTTGCTTTTACCCTGGATTACCCTGGAATCTCTTAGGTAAGGGGGGAAAAATGGGTGGAATTTACTGTATTTCCAGGAACAGCTTCCCTCCAGCACTTTCTTTTTCTCTTTCCCTTGAAACATCTGTTGCTGGGATATTACTAGGTGGGAGGGAGCAAACCCCCCTCCCAAATATCCTGTTTTATACTGTCTGGGAAAGGAGGGATGAGCAAGAGTCAGGATTATGGTTTCAGGAGTCTATTTAAAACCTGGCAGAAAGAACAGGGTCCAAACATTCAAAATAAGTTTCAGCGCCAGTGTTAAGTCTGTGGCAGCAAAAACAGCATTGGCTCCTGCACGATGATTTAGTGATAATTTAAAACCGTCAAACTGCCCATATTAATAAAAGTCTTAATTTTAGTAAAAAAATAGATCGATAAGGCTGCCAAATGGGGCAGCTCACAATAGCCCCAATACTAGCTCTGCTCCTTTAAACAGTTTTCCCAGGACATGTGCAAACTGGGAGAGTCCAAAAAAAAAGGGGGGGGGCACAGTTGTGCAACTGAAGTCCTGCTCCTAGTTTATTTGCATTGCGATGTATGTAAATAAGGGGCAGGGCTTTGATTGTGTGGTTAGATCATCATCTTGAGGTGTGTGGCTTTTTTTTGTTTCGTGTTTTAAATCTGCTTTGGATGTCCCCCGTTTTCCATTTTCCTAAACTCCTTTTTCTTCACATCCCGAAATAAATCTTGCTGGATAAAATGAAGAGAAAAGCAATAAGTAGATTCAAATGAAAAGACCGGGATTGACTTCCAAGCCAGGGGCAAAATTCTCACTAATGGACATAACCTGGTCCCTGAATTAATTTATTTATTTTCTGGATTCAGACAATATAGTGAATAATCAGCTTACTCTGCATTTGTATGACATGCTAAGCTGCATACGCACATGCCAGCCCAACCGAGATTAAAACTAACCATAGTTAGTTAGCATGGGATGGAGTTGCTATAACTTTTAAGTTTTAACTGATCTGGGCAAGTGGGTATATCCGGAGCCTGTGTTTGTGAACTGTTCCAATATTAGAGATGTGGAGCACTTGAAGATGAAGGTTTCTCAAAGTTCAACGGTCCTTCTTCTAAGTTTTCTTTGAAAATGAATTTAGGGGTAAGGAAACAGAAAGCGTTGTTTTGTTCTTGCATAATATTCTTGGCTTGCATCACAAGACACGTTAGTGAAAGCGTCCGTTGGCTTGAAAGGGAAGTTAAGAGCATTTATCAACAATGAAAGTCCTTGAGTTTGTCCAAAACGTTGGAGAGAAGAGAATATTTAGAATCAGAATAGAGCTGGAAGGGATCCTTGTGGTCTTCTAGTCCAGCCCCGTGCTCGAGCAGGGGATCCTATACCATTTCAGACAAGTGACTGTCCAGTCTCTTCTTAAAAACCTCCAGGGATGAAGCACCCACAATTTGTAGCTCAGAGTTGAAGCGTGGGGTCCTTGGTGCTCTCTGAGCTTGGACCCCACAAGGAAGCTCAGAGAGTGCCAAGGACCCCCGTTTGGAGAGCCAAGGACCCCCGTTTGGAGAGCTGCAGATGAACAAAAGAACTGCAGTCCTGTGGTGAAAACTTCTGGGCTGAGTGTTGCTTGCTGTTCACGGTCTCTTTCTCAGCGAGTGATCAGTTCCTCTTGCTAAGTGTTGATGGTCCATTTTGGTTCCCCCTTTTCTAGGCAGGCAGCATCGAGGAGCAGAAAATACCCCCCTGGCTTCCTCTTCTGAGCAGGAAAGGGATGACTTCAAGAGGCAACTGCACAACAACAGTGAGCGAGACTTCAGGAGACATGTGGGGAAAGTACCGTGAACTTTGAGGAGATGCTGGACCCTGAAGGAAGGGACGTAATGGAGACGCAACAGGAGAGCAAGCAGAAAGAAGAAGAGACCCCTGTCCTGGCAAGCAACCTGCAGCAACAAAGGCCAGCTGCTGGCGGCAATCAATCCCCTCGTCCTTCTGACCGGGCTGAAAGCTTGAATCTTCTCCGAGGTCAATCAACCAACAGGAGCTACAACCGGGCGAAGAGGCATTCGGCAAAGTGGGGGGCCGAAATGAGCCCCTCCCGGCTTTCCGTGTCTTGGAGCAGCACGAGGAGGAAAGGCCTAAAGGAGCTTCTCCTGCAGAGCAGTCAGGCCAGCCCTACCTGGCTTACACCTTCCCCCAAAGACTCCATCCCGACCGATAGCCAACAGGGAGAGGATAATTTCTCAGAGGTGGCTTCTGAAGAGTTGTGCTTAGCTCTGGACCCCTTGGAGCACGAATGGATGTTGACGGTGGCCCAAGGAGACCCGGAAAGCATCCTTGACCTGCTAGCCAAGGAGCCCAGCCTGCTCTCCAGGAGAGATTTTGTGACGGGTTTTACCGTCCTCCACTGGCTGGCCAAACACGGCCGTCACGAAGCCTTGATCCAGGTGATGACTTTCGCGGAGAGGAACGGCTACCCAATCAACGTTGATGCACCCACGGCCAGCGGGAGACTGACCCCACTGCACTTGGCTGCTCTTCAGGGTCACGTGATGACCCTCAAAATCCTAGTAGGAGCCTTTGGGGCCAACACCAGCCTCAGGGACCACAATGGCCGCAGAGCCTGGCAGTACCTCCAGGCCAGCGCTCCCAGAGAGTTGAAGGAACTCCTGGGGGCAACCGAAGAAGACTTGGCCGTCCCAGGAGCGGGAAACACCAACAACAACTGTGCTCCTTCAAGATGGGGTTGGATCGGGGCCTTTCGAGCGGAAGGCCACAATGCTGAGGCTGCAAGGCCAGGCCAGAGGGCCAGTCCCACGGGGTCTTATTTGAGGAACATCTTCAGGCAAGCCATTGCGTTCTTTCAAGATCATTAGAGGTCTCCTGGGTGGGTTCATGGTGTTTGGGCTCCTGGCTTGGACTGATCCTCATGGCCGCCATTAGAGACACAACGGTTTAAGAAGGTGGAGGAAGCCATAGGGTGGTTGATGAAATGTTCAGATTATCTCCCGAGTTTTAGCAAACCTACTTATACTTTTAGTCTCTGGGATAAGAACTCTTTTTTGGCTCAAGGAACTGGATACGGGGAGGAAGACCCTGGCATTTGTTCTCTAAAGCAGAGGTCTGCAACCTGGACATCTTTAAGACTTGTGGACTTCAGCTCCCAGAATTCATAGCTGGCTGAGGAATTCTGGGAGGTGAAGTCCACAAGTCTTAATGATTGTCCAGGTTGCAGACCCCTGCCCTAAAGGGCTGTGAATATATGACGTGAAAAGAACTTGGAATTCTGCATCTGGAAAAATTCTCACCTTATCCTGGGAGAATGCAGGATATTACATTACACAAAGATATGTGCATATCTTTGCATAATGTACTCGGATTATGCTAGGCCGAAGGAGTAGCAAAGAACTGTAGTTGAGAGTGGCCGGCCCTACCTTTGGTTATTGAAAAACCTCTAAATCACTTGCTTCTGACAGCTCAACAATACAATTTGGCAAGCAACTCGCTTTTTAAAATCCGAGTTGCAACGCTTAAGGAAGCAGAATATAACGCCGGCTCCCAGTTCTTTTGGCAGGATGGGGTGGAAAAAAAAGTCAGAAATATGTCTTTGAAAACCAGATTGTGTCAGTCTTACCCACCGTGTAATTCAGGGCTGAGCTAAGTTCAGCCGTGCATTTTACTTTACGAGAATACTGAAGGCTTAAGAGTTGTCTATACAGATTTTGGATTTTAAGATAAGAAGATAAAGAGTTGGAACGCTCCACAAATGCGTATTTTTGGGTGTGCTTTGCCCGTCCTGCGTTTCGAAAGAACGTAAGGAAGCCTGCTTAGGTTAGACCAAGCCCTTCCTGTTAATGTGGCAAACTTTTGCAAAAATTTCAGCAGCAAGTCTCTAGGAGAGGGGATCTCCAAACGTGGCAACTTCAAGACTTGTGGACTTCAACTCCCAGAATTTTGGGAATCGAAGTCCGCCAATCTTAAAAGTGACGATACCCCTGCTCTAGGATACTGTTTGATAGTTGCCTTGTTTGATCAGTCATTTTTATTTTTTTTGCCCACCTTGTTTAATTTGTCCTTCCTGCTCTGATCAAAAGAAAAGCGCAACCAAGAGCGTAAGTTTTAATCTGCAGGATCTTCAGTGAAAGACCTGAACTCGTCACCTCAAAGGAGACCTTAACGTTAATCTATTTTAGAAGTATAGAATTCTGAGAGCTTCAGGGATATTCTCTGTTTTAAATAAAGGATATTTCAACTAACATTGTCCTTTTTGGGTTTTTTTTGTGAACGGGGGACTTCCTGGTGGGCAAAGACAGTCTTTAAACCTTTGAGCAGAAATGAGAATTGGTGTTTCGCGTATGGCCCCAAACTGGGTGAATCCAGAAAGCTCTGGAGAAGCTAATCATGAGTTGCCACCAAGAGAATCATGTACTACATGGTTGAAAGAGGATTGGGGGTGTGTGTGTCAAGGTTGCTCACCCCCTGTGCTACGGGGGTCAAAAGCAGGCAGACTCAAGTCTTCAGAGTTTGTTGATATTGCTGCCACTGGCACTTTTGAGAAACCACAAGTTTTGTAACCGGAAGGGGGCATATGAAACTTCAGGAAATGTGCGGGCAGAAGAAAAACAACATTGAGTGACATCTTAATGTTTGCAAAGGCTGGTTGATTCTGAGGTGGGGGGGGGATGTCTCTGTTGAAGCAGAAATGGTTCTGCCCCAAGAAGGAATTCAGGAATAATAAACAAAGGGGGCTACTGTCTTCAGTCCCATGAAGGTAACTAATGGGAGATTCATGACAATCAGGCAGCATCTGCCTCGTCGTGGAACCCTCAAGCAAGCCGTTGTCTGGCGAGCAACTTCACCATCTAACAGGGATTCGAGCTTTTAACCCAGTCTCCACAGACCAGCATAGGTCATTCCCATCTCTTGTTCTCCCCAGGATTGAGAGGGTATCAGGGTACAGATGATACCTTATCCCAGGGATCTTCAAACTTGGCCCTTTGATGACTTGTGAACTTCAACTCCCAGAATTCTCCAGCCAGACACGCATGGGAGTTGAGGTCCACAAGTCTTAAAAGTCGCCAAGCTTGAAGTCCACAAATCTTCAAGTTGCCAGGGACACCCCTGGCTTAGACTTTGCACTCAATGGCATCACGAGTGAAGGCGAATATACGTGTCCCAGGATAATGTTGCAGGATCCAATCAGGGTCCAAAGCACCCAGAGAAGTTCTTTTGAGAATGGGCTCCAGCACGAGTCCAAAAGCTCAGAAGATAAAACCTCTGATCCCGGTTAACAGACCCAGATTGGATCCCAGTATCAAGCCACCAAGATCCTGTAAGATCAGAAGGATCACCTTGCCCTCAACCAGGTCCCACATTGCTACCCTGATCTGCTAATTTAAAGGTAATAGACTAGCAGAGGTTACAAATGTTTGCCTCTAGTGTTTTTTAACCCCCGTTGCCAGGAAATACAAGGTTTCACCTGTACTTACCTCCTATTTGTAGATTTCTCAAAGGTATCTGTGGAAACCACAAACCAAACCAGATAGTCCTTTATCTGATTCAACCCAGTTCTTCTCACAGGGTGGTGCCAAGTAATTCTTGAAGCAGAGCTGAATTCAAGCTCGGAAGCCATAGCAAGAAACAATGGTGCAAAACGTGGCTGCTTTAAAAGTCAAAGACATTTTTTAAACAGATTATACTAGTAAGAGGGGCCGAGAGTCCTCCTGGATAAAGTCAGGAAAAATTATTTCAAATGTTACTTTCCAGTGAAAAGGCAGTCTATCTAATGTACACAGAGAGACATCTGTATTCACTTGGCTCCAAGTGTCCAAGCTTGTCAACATTAATTCCAGGGGTTTTTGAAATCCTGCCGTCTCCAAAACCACCTGGAGAAAAAAAGTTTCAGAGAATTTTTTGGGAAGGAATTCCCTAAAAATTGCCCAGGTCAGCAGCATTACATTTTTTAGACCTAAAACTCCTTTTAATCCTTCAGTACAAATGATGGTTAATCAAACCATGTCTTAACGTGTATAGTCTTTTAGAGGGACAAGGCATTTATCCCACTAAGACATCTGGCTAAATGTTTTTTTTTTCTTTTAAATAAATCTGAATCTCACTCAACCATGACTTTACAGCTAGGTAAGCTTCTTCACTGTAGGTAGTTAAGTCTGCTAAGTTGTTTTTAGCTCATCGGCTCTCTGAGGGCTATCACTGCTACTATCTTATACAGTTCGGGTATTTTGTAAATGATTGCTTTCTTAATATTTTGTTAATCCCCATTAAATGCAACTCTTCAGAAAATTATTTCGCAACAGCTTCATTGTTGATTCTGATTCAACCTGCAAAGTGTCTGCGATTAAGAAGCATTTTCTTTCTTAAAACACTGAAAACACAATTTTCACCTCCTGTAACAGCTTGTAGACTTTGTAAAAATTACATTTACTGAATATAAATAAAAAGAAAAAAGGAAATACCCCAAAGATGTTTTGCATGCACGGTTGCTCATAAACCTTTTTGTTTTTTTCTTCTTTCTCCTATAAGCTTTTCTAGTTTGCCTTTTAAATTTTCTACCTTATCTGTTATTTTTTTCTCTGTCTCTGTCTCTAAATTTTCTTAAGTTAATGCCACCAGCACTTTGAAACAATGCATTTCCAAACCTGAAACTAATTTATTTGATTTCTATAGCTGTCCATCTCAGCAAACGACTCTGAGCAGCTCACAAATATTCTCACATTATTTGCTTGGGATTACAGTTTCCTGCCAAAGTCTTTTGTATACTGTCGAGGCTTTCCCTTTGGACTTAAGTGGGTATAAGCAATAAATCCAAAGGGAATTTGAAATTAACTAATCTCCCCCTTGTTAATGAACATCTCTCCTTTGACAGCAGGAATTCAGTCAACCTAGCTACGGTGAGAAATAAAGGACGTAAACACGAACACAAAATACCACGTTATTTGGTTTTAATTCCTTTGGAAACCTCTTTGTGGAAATAAAAACGTTAAAGGTGGGAGAAAAGTACACAATACACGAGGAGATTCAGTCTTGAAAATAGGGCTCTGTTTAGAAGGGAGGGAGGCGTCCTGGGGCACAAAAGCTGGCTGCCAGACAGACATGGCAAAGGTTGCAGCTGCTTCTCTTTACAGGCCCAGCTTGGTTCTTCTCCAATGCCGCCTCTTGGAATTGTACCTAGCACAAAAGAGGTACAATTAGTAAGCGAGACACAGCTCTGAGCGCCTAACAGACAAAAATCTGAACTGCAAGAAGCCAATAGCAAGCAACTAAACTAGGGATTTGTAATCTGGGGGGGGGGCTCTTTTACAAAGCAGAGGGAGAACACTTTTCCCATGTCAATCTGCATCCCCTTCCTCATTTAAATGCACAAAAACCCTAGTGTGTTCATTTTTCAACACAAGCTGCTTTGACAAACAGCCTTATGAAATGTAAGCACAAGGACAGGACCCATAACAAGGTCTAGCATCCCAACATTTGCCCCCTCCCCCTGAAATTAAGCCCACAATTAAAGTAGTGAGAGATGGGGATGTTACTAGGCTATCATCCAACTGGAATTTATGGACCAGATCAACTAATCAATTTTAGATTAAAATTCAGTGATTTACCCAAATGCATTGATCCAGGTGACTGCTTTTTTAAAAAAAATAGATCTTCATGCTAACCTCATATGGTGATGAAGACACACATTTAACAGGCTTCCAAATTATTCAGTTACCTCCTTCAAACAATTCTTTTTTCCCCCCCAACATGTACATATTCTGGCTTTGCACATTTTATACTCATGCTGTATTATCTGTAAACTTTATTAAAAGGATGATGAAGCAGCCCTGACAGATGAAGCAATCAATAAATCTGAATTCCCACAGGTTACATCCCAGAAAACCTCCCTTAGATATTACCCCAGTGACACTTGAGATTCCTCTATGAGGACAGAGACGATAAACGTAACGCTTGTCACTGTTAAAAGGAGACGAATTTCACCAGGATGAAGGTGAAATCAAATCCTATGTAACGGAATTGCTCTTAGCAGGGACATGGCAGTGATTCCATATAAGGAAACCCTGCAATTGCAAACTGCTTCGGGAAATTTCCTTTCAGAAAATAAGTGTTTCCTTTACGGAAGTAATCTTCACTCATCTGACCTGGGAACAGATCTCAAAGTTTCAGTGCCAGAGAGAAGCAAAATGTTGGATGGATAGGAAGGCAAATGTGTTTTGCACCCCAAGAGAAGGGGGGTGTATGTGAAAAGAAGCAGAAGGATGCAAAGAGTGTGGCAAGGAAAATCAGGACAACAAAACAGATGATGAAAAAAGATAACGAGGATTTATTAAGACCTGGTTATTTCAGCAGGCAGGACTGGCCTAGGGGTATTTTAGAGGGGTTTTAAATTAAATTTTTAGTAGAAGCGGCCAATTTGTATAGTTATTTTTAATCTTTTTTAAATTTTGTATTGTACCATTGTTTTAAACTGGCTGTAAGCCGCCCTGAGTCCTCCGGGAGAAGGGCGGGGTATAAATTTAATAAAATCAAAAATCAAATCAAATTAGAAAGTCATTTGATACCAGGAGGCAAAGTTAGATCAATTATCAACATGGGCTTATACAAAGTCAGGTCGATGTTGTTATTTGTAAAAAGAATTGGTTAAATAGTATTGATTAATTTTTTGTATAACCAATGTTTGGAGGCCAATGGACCCTGAAACTTCATGAAGAGGCCGAGGAGCTGAAGAGTTTGGGACCCCCTGGTTCAGAAGGAGGACTTAAGGCAAGTTTTCTTCAAAACATAAATATCCCCATGAAATTGCTAGTGGGGCCTGACTGCAGGCAGGCAACAATCAAGCGGATCTGAAGACGGCTCCTTCAAGAGATTTACCTGATCTTAGAAGAACGGACGCTTAAAGTGTCAAATTTAGCAGAAATAGCTAAGATTTCTGCCTATTTGAAGGGTCACTCACAAGATACATTTCGGTTTGGAGAAGATGGATAGGTTATATTCAGAATAAATATGGGACTAAAAAGTTCCATTTAGCTTATGAGTAAATTTTAGAGTATTATTAGTATTAATAGTTTATTATAGTGAAATTTTTGTTAGTTTTAATTATATGACATTATTATTACTTTTAGTATTAGTATTGTTTTAACAATATGGATATTCTATTGTTTAGTAATTAGGATACTAATTTGTTTATGTTTTCATTATTATTATTATATTTATGTTAAAGGGGAGTTAAAGCGCATTATGGACTTGGTTATTTATATAGTTGGTTAATGTTAGTTAGATTATGATTATTATATTTGTAACCCTGTATTCAGCTCTGGGAAGCGGGGGAGGGAGAGGGGGGGTTAGGGTGGGTTGGGTTTTATATTGTAACTTTTATAAAACTTTTCAATAAAAAAAAAAGAGATTTACCTGATCTTATTGCCAGTTTTCATGCGAATCCACTGTGGAATGGGACGGTTCTGCTTCTGCTTCTTAGCGAGGAACCGCTTGATCTTGAAAGTCTTATGGGACGACTGGAGATCGGGAAGGAACATCCAAAAAAAATTAAAGCGGTGGTCAAGATGAGCAAAGCTGGCTGAGGAATTCTGGGAGTTGAAGTCCACATGCCTTAAAATGGTCAAGGTTGAGAAACACTGCCTTAGAAGGCTCCGAGTTCTCAGATAAGCTCGGGTATTGGGTGAGGGAGGTCCAATTGGGCCTCCTGCTCCAACAGAGGGCTGGACTAGAAGACCTCCAAGATCCCTTCCAATTCTGTTAATTCTGTACTCGGAATACTCTGTGGCTGTGAGTTCTAGTCCTGCCTTAGCTATGAAAACTGGCTGGCTGATCTTGGGTCAGGATCTCTCTCTCAGTCAGTCCAACCTACCTCGCAGGGTTGTGGTGGAGAAAAACAGGTCAGCACCTTCCCCACGACGCCAAATGGGCTCGTTGTGCGTAAAATTGGGCCGGAATCCAGCCAACTTTTCTTCGGACTCGCTAAATCCCATTCAATCCCTTCCTTTATCACCGAGAAGGGCAACTCTATGGTAAGGAGAGGCCTAGAAACAGCTCCCCATTCAAGCGGCGGTGGGTGGGCGGGCGGGCCTTAACCGGGCACCCCCCCGCTCTTTCCTACACACGGTTCCCAATTGTCGAAATCGAACTCGGGGTGATCCGCAGGAGGGCCCCGGAGGGCCCGGCCCGGGGAAGCGGGTGGGCAGGCCGCTCCGCGAGGGAGGATTGCGACGGATATACTCACCATCGTCCAACGCGGCCACCGGCTACCCCAACGGCAGCAAGACGAAGAGAATGGCAAGGGGGAAGCGGCGCAGGGTATGATGGGAAAAAGGCGACGAGTGCCTTTCCTGTGAAGGCTAGAAAGTCGACTCGACAGCGCCGCGCCGCTCAGCGTCTCCTACGAGGTACTGCAGCTTTTCAAGCAGGTAAACTCCGCGAAGGTCAAAGGGTTTACAGCAGGATTTTTAAGGCTGAGCAACAAAGAATGGATGCCTTTGAACTCTGGTGCTGGAGAAGACTCCGGCGAGCCCCCTGGACTGCAAGGCGATCCAACCGGTCAAACCTAGAGGAGATCAACCCTGATTGCTCCTTAGAAAGCCAGATCCTGAAGCTGAAACTCAAGTACTTTGGCCATCTAATGAGAAGGAAGGACTCCCTGGAGAAGAGCCTCATGCTGGAGAAGATTGAGGGTAAGAGAAGAAGGGGACGACAGAGAAGGAGGTGGCTGGATGGAGTCACTGAAGCAGCAGGCATGAGCTTAAATGGACTCCAGAAGATGGTAGAGGACAGGAAGGCCTGGAGGAACGTTGTCCGTGGGGTCGCGATGGGTCGGACACGACTTCGCAACTAACAACAAAAAGTAGTAAAAAGTACTGAATTTACCTGGGGTGTTCACGGATTTGTTTTATTTTATTCAGTGTGCATGCTGCCCGTTTGGGTATATTTGGAACAATCTAGTAATTCAGGGTTTCTGACTTGGCAAGTTGAGGATTGGCAGGCTTCGACGCCCAAAATTCCCCAGGGGTTTTATTTATGTATCGTATTTATATGGTCATCACTCATTTCATGACCAAAGGTGTCTGATCAAACCTTAATGGTGAATTAAGCCTTTTGTTGTTGTTGTTGGCATGACAATTGGGCAGTGTGTGTCTTTGAAACAGGTCTTATCAAGTACTTAGGAGCCGAGGGTTTGGCAGCTCATGGAAACAACAGCCAATCGCCGGCCATCAACACACCAGTCCGCCAATTGGAAGGCACCACATAAATACGAAACACAGAATAGACCAAAACACACATTCTGGCAGAGAGAAGTTCTCTTAAGAATGAGCTCCAGCACGATTCCGAAAGCTCAGAAGACGAAACCTCTGGTCCCAGTGATCGACCCAGACTGGATCCTGCAACATTATCCTGGGACATGCAGATTTGCCTTCTATGTGAGGCTGCACTTTCCCCACCCAAGTCATCACATACAGTGACTTTCCCCACCAAGTCATGACATACAAAATGATACTTTAAAACATTTATAAATGGACAGTGTTTTATTAAATATAAAATAGCTGTGTTGGATTAGCATAAAGGAGAACCCAGGTCTGTTGCTAGGAGTTCTTCCTCAGTGGCCCTTTTCACCCAGTTAGCCCCCGATTCCCTAGAAAGCCGAGAAAAGCAATCCGAGAGAGATGAATGGGGAAAGGTGAGATGGCTGCCTTAGTGCACTGAAGAAGAAAGTCTGAACTGAAGCAAAAAAAAAAAAAACCCAAAAACCAAACTATTTTCTTAGGTGGCATTCAGAAAAGCAGAGGGTAAATTAAAATCGATACGGCTGCCTTTAAAACAAAAACTGTATTAAAAAAAATATATCCATATCTAATGTCAGCGCTTTCAATCCGGCTGTACAAACCTCTCGCAAAGCAAAGCAAATGCAAAGTTACACTCTGAACATTCATTTTTGCCATTAGCTGTTAGAAACACAAGGAAGAAAAAAAGAAAGAAAAGAACCGACTCTCTCGTGACTTATGACAGCGTTTTTCTCCCGCTCCAGTCAATAATGCAAATTCTGGGAGCACCGACTACCGTGATCCAACCTTATAAACCCTGGTGCGATCCCAAGGACTGGATCTGAGGTGCAAATACTGCTTCGTGGCTTTTATTATTTCAAAGACAGCACTTGTACTGGGCTGTGGGGAGCCCACCTCCCTTTTCTGAGGCTCCTGCTGCTGCGGTCTCTTCACTGAGAAGGCGCTCGCCGAACACAAGGTTGGGTTTTGACTCTGCACATGGCTTAGAAACCAGATACATCCCAAAGCATAGTTTTCTCTGCTCTCTCCTCCTCCTCCTCCTCCTCTTCCCCAAGGCACTTCTGGACTGTACAGTTCATCCTCTTTGGCTGCTTGTTCGATGAGAACAGGTGAGGCCGTCACACCTCTTCTTTCAAGTTACTAGCCTCACACTCCGGCTTTTTATCCGCTCCTTGGTCAGATGGCTTGGGAGAGCTTTCGTCGTAGGCGGATAAACGACTTCGACTCCGGCCCCCTGGCTGGTAGAGCTGCATGGCTGGTCGATCCTGGAAGGACAAAAAGAAATTGGATGTTCCACTTCCAGCTGAGCAGATGAGGCAGCAATTAGAATGGCTACACTGGATGACAGGAGTTCAGAAAAGGAGAATTACCCAAACTAAGTAACATCATCAGTGCTAGAAGGGAGTGGGGTTTATTATGGAGGAGGAGGAGGAGGACGACTAAGGGGTTGGTCCTTGATGCTCTCTGAGCTTGGCTGTTGTCTTGCAGATGTTTCATTACCCAACTAAGTAACATCATCATGCTAGAAGGGAGTGGGGTGTGTGAGGAGGAGGAGGAGAAGGGGACAGGAGGAGGAAGAGGGGGAGGGGAAGGGAGAAGAAGAGCAGGAAGAGTAGAAGGAGAAGGCCTGTGAGGTCCTTGGTGCTCTCTAAGACTGGATGTTTTCTTGCAGATGTTTCATTACCCAAACTAGATATCATCATTATATCAGTGCTAATGAGCTGATGAGTTCAACCAGCTCAAGCTAGCCTGGTGAACTTGGATTTAATTAATGTTTCTTTCAGGCAGAACGGTCCTATGAATCAGACCTGGAATGCTTTAGAGAAAGTAGGGAAGTACGCTGAGGTACTAAGTAACCCAACCAATTAATTCCTATGGCTAATTGGAAGGTTTAGCCTTCTCACTTAGAAGCCCTATGGAGCTGACCTTTTAGAATGATAAAATCAAGTTTCCTTTTGAACAACAACAATAAAGAACCACGTTGAGCAAACAGCCCTGCGTGTCTACGCCCTTGATTAAAAAAATACCATCTATTTGCTGTTTCTACCTCACCACTGTATCGGGGACTAATGAGGTATTATCAATCATCTGGTTGAGATAGGTGGCTAAAGAAATTGAATAAATAATATATAAATAATAAAAAAAAACAACCTAGGACCAGCACCTTGTTTCGGATCCGGTCTTTCTTGGCCAAATCGTCCCTTTTGTCCTCCTTGGTCCCCTTCTCCGTTTTCTCGGGGTTGCCCACGTACTCCACGAAGTCGGCTCTTTTCCCTTTTTCTCGCAAGGAGTCTCGTTCTCTTTTCACGTCCTCTTCTTTCCTCCGGAACACCCTCTCTTTCTCGAAGCGTTCCTTCTGCCGTCGACGGTCGTCTTCTTGGCGCCGGAATTTGTCCCGCTGAATTCTCTCGTAGTCTCTGTCGCGGTCGTAGTCTCTTTCTCGGTAGTCCTTCCCGCCCTCGTCTTCAAATCTGACGCAAAGCCATTCGGAGAGAGACACATTAATCTCCTCCTCATGTGCTCACTTGGCCACCCTGGACTTTGCACAGAATTTCTAGTGGAATTTTTTTTTTCTTTTTTTAAAAAAGGGGGGGACTTGCAACAAATTTTTTGATAATGTATATGAATAACACAAGACATCATAGATTTCTGATGACTAATAGAAATAGAAATCATAGATTTGTATAGAATAGACACTGAGCGGTTGAAAGTTTTGATTGATTAAGAGAATTTATATTTAGACATATTAATGATTTTATTCGAATCAATTTGATTATAATATTATGTATAGATAGAGAGGGAAATTTTAAGGAATATTGTGTGAACTGTATATTTATAATGCTATTGTTTACTTTTTGTAATTGATCACCATATCTCCACCTTGGTTCTTAAGCTTCTGTTGGTGTAAAATGGAAAACTAATAAAAAATTGTTTAAAGAGGAAAAAAAGAGAGAAGAGAAATCAAAAGTTTCACACATTATATAGCCTCCCCAGCCTAAGTTTCCAAATTAAAGTACTTTATAATGATGTGTGTGTGTGTGTGTGTGTGTGTGTATTCATATTCAAAATTTGTGGCTGGCAAAGAGTTAGTGGGAGACTAGTATAGCTATTTCAGGCTCATTAGCCCTCATCAGCTAGTCACACCCTTTAGGGATTCGAACCTGGGCAGTAATTTTTCCTAATTACTTTGAAACGGTAAGGCAGATCAAACAGTGACTACATTTGAGTACGGACTCCAGAAGTTGAATTTGGGGGAAAAGGCACCAAGCTAACCAGGATGGTCTGAGAAATGAGAATACGTACTGCAGTGGATACACTGGTTTTTTGGTCTTTTCCTCTTTAGCTTCCCCATCCGAGCGCTTGGCTGGCAGGCTGCCAATTGGGCTGACAATCTTGTCCTCTCTCAGATTCTCTTTCTCCAGTCTCTTGGCCTTCTCCTTTTTTTCAAAGTCTCTCTCATCTTTCTCTGGCTTCTTAAGTAGCTAGGAAAAAAACAAATTTAGTCCTCCTTACTAAATTGACTTTCTACGCTAAGCTAGGCTAGCAATTGGGCCGACTACCGACAAGATTAAATATAACGTGAGCGTTGTCAGTTATTTCCAAAATAGAGTGTTCTTCCTCACTGACTCGTGTGAGGTCTTAAAACAACGGAAGGTGTAATTCTTGCGTTTGTTTCCTCAAGTCAAGTCAGTGTGAGGTTTAAGGCTTTGATTAAGCCACTTCATACTCGTCTTCTCAATTACTTATGTCCGCAAGGCGATGGCTGGATGCATACACGGTGCTAAGTTACGACTTCCTAATCCATTTTTGTAAAATCAGCTAGAATAACGGTTAAAAGATCATGTTAAGTCAAAACCAAAAAGACCACACTAAAATTTAGCACTGGGAGTCAACCTAGTTGCTATAATCAAGAATGGATCCTACTCTAAATAAAAACATATTGGATAGTGCAGGGGTCTTCAAACTTGGCCCTTTTATGACTTGTGGACTTCAACTCCCAGAATTCCTCAGCCAGCGTGGCACGCTGGCTGAGGAATCCTGGGAGCTGAAGTCCACAAGTCATAAAAGGGCCAAGTTTGAAGACCCCTGGGATAACATTAATAACATTTCCATATCTATGAATTACAAAGGACTTAGCCATGACACACCTTATGCCTTTTTACTTCAGATATGCTCCACTGAGCTCCATAGACAGTGCTCTTAAATTACACAGGATTGGCTATCATATTCTACAAATATACATGAGACACACAGTATTTTTAGGCTATTTATCCTACAGGAAAGAAGTTATACCTTAATCTTTGGTTCATCCTTTGATTTGTCCCTTTCCTTTTCCGGACACCTCTCGACTTTCTTTGTTTTTTCAGCTTCTTTTCGCCGTCTTCTTTCTTCTTCTTTCCACTTCCTTCTTTCTTCTTCCCGTTGTCTTTTCCTCTCTAGTTCCCGTCGCCTCCTCTCCTCTCGTTTCTCTTCTCTAAGCCTCTGAAACAGAACCATCGAGTTAGGTTTTCCGACCAAAAGCATCGCCTAACCCAGGGGTAGGCAACCTTGGCTCTTTTATGACTCGTGGACTTCAACTCCCAGAATTCCTGAGCCACCCTGGCTCAGCTTGGAAACCTCTCCCTTTCCCCTCAGCATGGCTGGCTCAGGAATTCTGGGAGTTGAAGTCCACGAGTCATAAAAGGGCCCAGTTTGAAGACCCCTGCTTGTGGACTTCAACTCCCAGAATTCCTCAGCCAGGCATGCTGGCTCAGGAATTCTGGGAGTTGAAGTCCACAAGTCATAAAAGAGCCAAGGTTGCCTACCCCTGGCCTAACCTGACATGAACTGCAAGTACTTTGTTTCTAAGTTAAGAACCTTTATTAAGTTACAAAGCTACTTTAAAGGGTCTAAAATAACGCTAAAATAATGATCTTTCTTTAAAAGCCTACACACACAACGAGGAATTCAGATGTTTTAAACCAGGACATGGGTAGGGAAGATAATTTCAAAACATAGCTTTTGAGGGTAGGATTTTCTATTTAAAAAAAAACCCTGAACATAAATCCCAGAACAAGTTTAGAAAGCTCAATATTATTAGTGTTTAATTGGAGTAAGGTTTAATTGGACATCATTTCTTTAAATACATGTACACATTGAGCAATAGATCATAAAGCAGCTATAACGAAGGAATCATTGTTACCTGCTTATTCTTCAAGAAGTTCAACAGAGGAGTCGTCTTTTTGGCTAAAGAGTAAAAAAAAAAGAATAAATAGTATCTACGTGTGTATTTTTAAAAGGCATAAACTGAAATTACTGCAAAAATATTACCAAAATAAATACATGTAAGGCATTTCTCTCTGTAACGTGGCTGCAAAGAGGATTTTAGACGTTTTCATTTCCATATTAGATTAACTGCAACTAATGTCAGACGAACAGCGATTATAGTTGTGTTGAATATGTTGTGTTAAGAACATACCTATTAATTCTTTATTTCTTGCCTCTATTTCTTCTAATAAAGTCTCGGGAGTAGATGTTAATTTTTCATCATCAGCACTGTAGCTTTCTAAAAACTTCTTATATTCTGGATCTAAGGAACAATCATCACATAGACTATAAATACACAGGCTTAAAAAAAAATAAATTGAAAATTACGAAGACTATGATAATAGCCAGCATGCAGTGGTGCTAGATATAGGATCTCTATTGTCTTTGGGATGACACAATTTCATGTTCTATATGACCCACAGCAACAACTTATGCTGTAAAGCTTGCATTGCTGCATTCATGTTAAGTGATAAAAACGTTTTCCTGAGACCAGATCAACCATGCAGCGGACGATTCAAAAGGAGAATATTTATTTGCTGGTAACAAAAGACACCCAGAGAGTAAAAGGGGCACAGTCCTGCTGGATGGTTTCCAGCAGATTACACACCAACATAACCAAAGTAATCTTGGTCATGAGAATTCCCTTATCTGGAAATTTTGAACCGGGGCATAACTGGGAACTGCACCCAGAAATTCTCAATCTGCCTTGGTTGAAGGCAATTTTAACAGGAAAGGGCAACACAGCATTATCACTACTAACCATCGTCAATGGTTCCGGCTTTGGCATCCTTTTTCTTATTCTTCTTTTTGGCAGCTTTTTGAAACGGAGCAAATTCCACTATGGCGGGATATTCGAGACCTGTTTACACGTACAAATGCTTTGTAAAAAGAGCTGCAGTCGGAAGGGAAACAGCGGCTGTTAGTTGCATGGAATGTATTTCCAAAGTACAGGGACAGTCTGCGATTTGGAGAGAAGTACGCGTGGCCTGGGGGAAGGAGGGCCGGCATCGCCAGCAGCTGCCTCACCTAGGGCCAGGCTGGGCACACCTTGTCAGCAATAGGTGGAAGAAGATGATGATGAAGATCTGCTGGAGGTAGAGTAGGGCCTGGGGAGTGTAGGGTGACAGGGGCAGCTAGGGCTTTGCGCTGGGGTACTGGCTGCACCGCAGGGCTAGAGGCGGAACTCTTCTGCAAGACCAGGGCCGAAGTTGAGGTTGGGTGTGGTGATTGCTGGTGGAGACTGCTGACTGCCTTGGGTCTCTTCTCCAGCCCCAGCAAGGCTGGCTTTGCCGCCATCAAGGAGTGCCACTGTGCAGGGTGGCAAAAGGGCAGAGATGGAGGAGAGGCAGAGGAGTGGGGGGGAGCTGAAGCACATTATGGTCGTGTGTCAAAATGCCAGGATTTTGATGGCACGACTGTAGGGATGTTGCTACAGCTGTGTAGCGTTGGGAACTGGGCGTAAGTACCATCCCTCCAGAACTGCTAGAAGGCGAATGGTTGCTGCGCGAATCGTCATTAATTGAGGATTGCATAGAAGCCCAAAGTAAGTGACTAAAAGATGACATCACACAAGACATTTCTTATCCTGTGAGTTCTCCTGTCCACCATTCTCATCAACAGCAAGGGGGGAAAAAAAGACTGCCTGAAATGCATTGCGCTTAGCACGTCGTGGCTTAATTCAGATGGGTAGGAATTACGTTATGCAAACTAGCTTTCAAACCACGGTATGTTTCCAGTTATTTTACGACGGGTTTTAGAATATACAGGCCACTGGTGAGGTAATACAAATGCATACATTTATAATAGATGGGTGTCTGGGCTTGCTGAATAAATGCTTTTGAACAACAATGACTAACCTAACATAAATGATTTGTAAAGTAATTTCGGCTACATGAAAAATGATAAATAAGCAAAATAAATAAATAAACAAAAAAAAAATAAGCAGCATGATCCTACAGGGCCCACAATGGCTGCTGACGTGGCTCTCCCCCCCCAGAATTCTTTAAGATCTACTGTAAACCCTAAAATGTTTATGATATTCAATTGCAAAACTACTGCGGGAAAAATATTTCCACTATGCCAATTCCATTATTTTAGGTGCAGAAAGGCCACAAAACAAAATTCCTGAACTGATGACTTCATTTTATTTATTTATTTTGCATCACATCTGGATTGGCAAAGCCGGCCAGCTTGATCTACCTTTAAAAAGAAGCTAAAAAAGAATCAGGAAATCGGAGCATTTATCTGACTCTGTAAACTTCTATATTAAACCCCGAATCCTCCCTAAACAGATCGGATCCTAGGCTAGTCTGGATCTCTAGCAAGAAGCTAGCACAACTGAACCTCTTTCTGACAGCTGTATTCCCTTGTGCAGATTTTATGTTCTAAAGGTTACAATTAACCCAAATGTTGACATTTTTATACAACAAAGCATCCAATTTTAGTTTACGCTGCAATTCTAAAATTACTTATTTGAAACCAAATCCGATACAATAGTTTCAGAGAAACTGTGCTGAGGTATTAATGATCCTAAGTGTTTTTCCCTGCTAATAAACCTCTACCACCTCAGATTAGTAAGATTGTTGTTGTGTAAGTATGCGCATTCTGAACTACACGTTACCTTTAAAAATCTTAACTCAGTTATGGCATGGAAGCAAATAGGTGGTTCCAGAATTACAATAGACTTATTGTACAAAAGTTTGCCAATATATATATATATGAACAACAGAGATAGGATAATTGTAGGCTTACTTGCCTTTGTGATCAATAAAAACATAACCATCAAAGCGATCCCTGAACAGAACTATGTCTTCTTGGTTTTTAAAGTTGATGTATGCTCTGGAAAACATGTGAGGATACAAACTGCAGAAGGACAAAAAATGGCAATGTTTAAGAAAACGTTGCTGAGTGGTGATTATAAATATACACAACACGGAAGGGTGTAAAAACTGAAAGACAGACGTGACATGCCATCGTTTACGCGCAACACAGTCAACCTTCCCTTTTTACCTAGAGTCATTTGAAAAGAATTCAAAATAATCGTGCTCTGGCAGTGGCTGGAGATGTTCTTCAAGCTGTTCCTTGGTCAGGCTGGGAGGAAGGCGTCGAATCACTACCTTAAAGAAAAATGTTTCATCCTTTACAACAGGTGAAACAACAAAGCATTTTTAAGAATATATAAAGAAACATTAAAGCGAGCTATCAAGTAGTTTAATTAAAACCACATATTTCCTCTCCCCTATTACTCATAATAAAAATTAACTTCAGATGCCAACATGCCACTGAATAAAAATGTTCATCCACAGAGGTGTTTTGTTCTTCATTTTATTTAGAACAGTACTGGGAAATCCTTCCTGGATCTAATAACTTACTCTATGTATAGTTTTTTTTCCAAAACCTGCAACATTGACATCAACGAAGGAGGATATTTGTAACTCAGGGCTGAAATGAGGGGTCCTTGGTGCTCTCTGAGGTTGGTGGTTTTCCTGCAGACGTTTCATTACCCAACTAGGTAACAACATCAGTGCTAGAAATGCGGGGAAAACCCTCCTCCCTTCTAACACTGATGACGTTAGCTAGTTGGGTCATGAAATGTCTGCAGGAAAACCATCAACCTCACAGAGCACCCAGGACCCCTCAGTGTTGACCTCCTCAGCTCACTAAAAGTGGGTGGAGCTTGAAGCATCCCCATAAAGGGCTATACCATTTCAGACTGGGGGGGGGCAAGAGAGTTGGGGCCCCTTGATCTAACCAAAGTAGAAGAATAACATACTACTACTACTACTATCATCATCATTTTATATTACTATTCCCATTATTACTATTATTATATTACTACTATTACTATTATCATTTTACTATTACTATTATCATATTATTACTATTCCCATTGCTATTACTATATTACTATTACTATTATCATTTTATTATTACTATTCCATTATTACTATTATTATATTACTACTATTACTATTATCATTTTACTACTATTACTATTATCATTTTATTATTACTATTCCCATTGCTATTACTATATTACTACTATTATCATTTTATTATTACTATTCCCATTATTACTATATTACTACTACTACTACTACTACCATCATTATTTTATTACTATTCCCATTATTACTACTACTATTATTAAACAGGACATAATCATTATCATCATCATCATTATTATTATTATTATTCATCAGTACAGCAGCCATAAACCTTAGACCTGCTACTCTGCCAAAGGAATAATGTTGTTTTTTTCTAAAGTCCCCCACTCCATTCATGGATATCAGCGAGCTGGGGGTGATGGGAGTTGTAGTCCAGTGGGGGTCCGGACGGAGGCCGCCCGAGTTCGCTCCCTCTCCTCCCCCCCCCCCGCCCGGCGGACCCACCTTGCTGAGCGTCTCTTTCTTGTCTTTGGGCCTCTCGAGCCGGTCGGGCTCCCCTCCCGCCTTGGCGTCCGCTCCGGCCATGGCCGCTCCGAGCCCGGTGGGAGTGAGGGGCCCGCCGCGCTTCTCCTTCGGCCTGGCGTTCTCCTTGTCCTCCTTCATGGTGGGCGCCGCGGGAAGCGGGGCAGCACGCGGGCCTGGCTGCCTCCTCGGCCGCGGGAATCGGCCCGCTCCTCTCGCGGGAAGAGCGGAGGGGGAAGCCGAGCGAGGCCGCGACGCCACAGCGCCCTCCTCACGACCAGGGAGGCGGCGCGACTCCGCCAGGCCTCGCGTTGCCACGGCGACCAGCC